TTTTTTTTTTTTTTTTTTTGCATTTAATAGGCAGAGTCAAACACTTTAAAGAGAGATAAAATGGATCGTCTTTCTGGCGCCATCCTATTTCTTCCATCCCGTTTCTTCTCCGCCTGCCTTTGACGTCTTCTCAGGGCTAATGCGTGCTTGCTCACTCCTGGGCTCTTTTCTGTGCTGTTCTTTTGGCACCTTGAGTGGTGTGTTTTCTTCTCTTTCACATATTTCGTTTGTTTTCCCCCATTTTCCTTCCCACGCTCCCCTCCCAATTTTCTTGTTTTCTCCTCTGCGTGCCTGTGCCTGATACCAAAAGGGCAGAGTAGGATTAATACCCTGTGGGCAGGAGCAGACAGAGAGGTGAGAGATGAGCCGGGCCCACTGGAGGCCGTGTGCTTCTGTCCCAGCGGATAGCATTCACTGTCACTGCTCTTGAGCACCCCGGAGGACAGGGACATCTGTGGAGGTGCAGAGACACCCAGTGGTCCTTGGCTTTTTCAGAAGAGGTTGGTGCATTTTGGCTCAGCAGTGTATCTACTGCCTACCTCACCCCGACTTAAAGAGAGGATGGGGGTGCAGAACAACCTCAAACTTCCATTGTGAGTGTGGGTGTGACACCAGGGTCTGGCGAGCTGATGTGAGCAGGGGCATAAGGGGAGCCCCTTGATACTGGCACTTCCCAGCAGCTGTCCAGGGGGTCACCCCAGGTGAGGGTAATGAACCACCGGACCTTAGCTTGGCTCTAGAGCCTGCTCTGTGGGCCGAGTGCCCCTGCCCTGCCCACCTCTGTGCCCACCTCATTCCCTCCACTACCACCTCCTTGGGGGAACAGTGGTGGATCCCACACTGCCAAGGCTGGGGATGTTATTGGAAATTTTGAGGGTTGGAAGGGGTCTGCTCAGTCATTTAGTGGCTCCCAAATCGAGCATCAGTGTGGGTTGGGGTGGTGCTTAAAGATAGATTTTTCTACCACTTCGTGGATGAGTCTGATCTTCTGCCACTGCTCTGGCCTGTCCCCTTCATTTTCCTGCTGAGAACACTGGGGACCAGAGAGGTGAGACAGACGCACAGCTGCCCGAACCAGCGTTGGAGGCAGAGGTGGACTCTAAGCAGCTCATTCCTGGGCCTCTGTGTTTTCTCACCCTGCTGTCCTGCCCGCCCTGAGCTCTTTGGCGTTGGCCCACCAGGACCCGTGGAAGGCCTAAGCCACAGGCCAGCTGTGCACGTACAGGGGAGGAAGGGACCTGCTCAAGCTCGGCTTCGTCCCTAGGGAGATGCCCTGTGCTGCCCTTCTAAGCACGGCAGAGCCCTGCCTAGAGCCGCCCACATCCACAGGCCCGGGTGGGCCCCAGGGATAGGCAGCAGCCTCTGCTCTGCCTCTGACTCAGCAGACCGTGCCCAGCCTGGAGAGACTCAGTAAGAAATGGACTCCAAATTGATGGGGAAAGATCTAGAGAAAAGGTGATAACCAGGGCGAGAGTGTGACTGTATTCAGTTAGGAAGGTGACTAGGAGACACAGTTACCCCCTCTCCATAGTTGGCTTCCTGAGCTGCCTTTGTTTGTTCACCCATTCAACAAATATTTATGGCGTTCAGAATTAGTACATCTTAGCCGGGTTGGGACCTGCTGTGAATGGAACAGAAACAACCCCCACTTCTCTTGCTCATTCCACTAGAAAGTCATACACTTGAGCCATGTTGGCCTCCATAAATCACCTTCACGTGGCCCCTGGATGGCTCCTTTATCATTACCAACAATATGATGGAAACAGGTGCATGTTATCTCATTTAATGTGCTCAGCCATTCGCTCAACCTTAGAGAGATCAATGTGCCCAGGGTCACACCATGAGCAGCGGGGTCTGAAATCACCCCTGTTCTCCCTGATACCATAGCCTGGGCTCTTGACCTTGCATCGAGTTGTACTGCTGGCAGCCTTAGGCCTTGCTTTTGATCAAAGACGAAGCCAAGTGAAATATAAGACCCCATTTGCCCTAAACTTATTTTGAGTATCTTTTAGTGGTAGAGGGCCTCTCCCTTCTTCCCAGAGGGCAGGGGAACGGTTTGCATTCCCGCCTCCCAGCAGGTAAGTGGAGGTGGTGTGGCGACGACTCAGTGCCCTTGCAGTCAGCACAGTGGTGTCTTTCTCTTGGTCTTGTTTGCTTGTCGTGCATTTTCTAGGTCAGACACCTCAAGTCCTTTTTGGAAGGATGAGAGAGAAATCATTTCAAACAATCTGAAGGTGTGGGGAAACTGATCTGCTCACCCCCAAGGGGCACCTCCAGTCCCCCGGACCCCACGTGTCCAGCGGCCGCCTTTGGCTGGGCTGAAGGTATTCTCACCAGGCTGCATGCAGTGAGAGGAAGAGGAAAGTAGCGAGTTCCTAATAAGCCTAAGTCTAATTTAAGGCCCCAGGCTTCCTGGGGGCAGGGGATGTCTGTCTTGAGGAGTTGCCTTGTGTCCTAGGGACCTTCACCCTATTTTCAACCAGAGAAACCTTTCTTCCTGTTTACATGTACTAGCTTTTCTATGTGACTTTGTTTGGAGAGAGAAGGACGCTCCCACCAACAGTTGGAGAGCTCTTCTGCTGGGCTGGAGGCGGGGGTGGGGTGATGTGGAGCGGGAGGAAGGTGGAGGGGAGGGCGCTGCTTTGGTGGGACTGGGCCAGCCTGGGTGTTCCTCTTACCTACTTGTCAGTCAGGGTTTTCCCAGGAAACAGAGATCTACATCAAAATCTCTTTTTCTTCCTGTACAGGGAGATGTATTTTAAGGAATTGGCACACATCACCATAAGGGCTGGCAGTGCCCAAATCTGCAGATGGCTGGCAGGCTGGGTGTGCAGGGAAGAGCTGATGTTGCATACTCAAGTCAGGGCAGTCTGGAAGTGGAGTCTCTCCCTTGGGACACCTCAAGACTTTTGTCTTTAAGGCCTTTGGCTGATTAGGTCAGTTTCACCCGCATTATGGGATGCAACTTGTTTTACTCAAAGCAAACCGACCTAAATGTGAATCTCATCTAAAAAAATGCCTTCACAGATTCCCCTAGACAGAAATCTGGTCAGGTGTCTGGGTGCCATGGCCTAGCTAGGTTGAAATGTGAAGTAAACCTCCTAGCTGCTCAAGTGTTGGCACACTTGAGTGCTACGAGAGGGTAACCGAGACCTTAAGCTAGGTCCCTGCCTCAAGTAACAAGACTATACATAGGAAGACATTAAGAACAAGAACTTCGAAAGCTGGTGTGGTGATGCACTCGTGTAATCCCAGCACGTGGGAGGGTAAGGCGAGAAGATCATGGCAAGTTCCAGGCCAGCCTAAACTGCATGGGTAGACACTGTCTCAAAACACAAGAAGAGCAAAACAAAATTTTAGGTGTTGTAAAAGTGAAATGTGCCAAGTATTTAGAGGTGATGCATGGGTAAGGCCCAAAAGATTTGAGAAGTTTCCTAGCAGGGCCTGAACGGGAGCTTTCAGAATATGGAGGGCTCAGATTCACAAGGCTGCAAAAGTCTTTAAGACCTGAGTGTAAACTGCTGGATCGTATAACATAGCTGGTCTCCTCAGCAAGTGCAACCAGCCATGCCTTGAAGATATTTGGAAAAATAATTGGCATCTGTACCAGGCATATACAGACTTTTATTTCTTGTGATTATCCCCTAAATAATACAGTATAACATCTGTAGTATTTTCATTAGTTTAGGTATTACAAGTAATCTAGAGATGATTTAAAGTAATAGTCACCTACCTTTTTGGCACCAGGAGCTAGTTTCACGGAAAAAAGACATCCATTTTCCCGTGGAACAGGAGGAGGGAGAGTTTTTTCTTTTTTTTCTTAGTGTATATTCTGTGGTACATAATAATTACATTCCCTAGTGCTAGCATCACTGCCTCAGCTCCACTTTATTAGCTCTCATAAGGAGAGCTAGAACCTGCACATGTGTGGTTCATGTATGAGAATCTAATGCAGCTGCTGATCTGACAGCTTGGAGAGCTCAGGCAGCAAGGTGAGCTGTGGGGATCGGCTGTAAATACAGATGCAGCTTCTCTTGCTCGTTCAACCACACTCCTTCTGCTGTGTGGCCCAAAGCAGGGGTGGGGGTTTTGCGGCCCCTGATTTAAAGAATATAGGAGGTTGTACATAGGTTAGACACAACACTGTGCCATTTTACATGAAGGCTTTTTGTTGTGCCTTGGGCCCTGGAATGAATCCCCTGTGGGTACTGAGGGACAACTGCACCTCTTTATCCAAGACCCAAGTTTACTGTATGCACATGCATTATTCCATTGCTGCTTGCAACAAGCACAGTTTTTAATCAAAGGTCCCCAGATCCAGTAAGATTGAGGGATTCACCAAGACACAGCTTGGGTCTTTTACCCCATCCCACTCCCTGAATCCTTGTTCTTCCCCTGGTACAGGGCAGAATGAAGTCTGTCCACACACAAGGAGGGGAGCATGCTAGGAGGGAAAGAATAACTGTATTTTCTTGACCAGGGGAGCCTGTCTTTCTATCTTCATTAGTTCTCCTTTCTCATTTTCTTTTCTCGCTCTCCCACAGACACGAATGCAGAGTTTGAATCCAGATCCCAAAGCCCGGTACACGAGCATCTATGGAGCCCTCAAGAAAATCATGCGGACTGAAGGCTTCTGGAGGCCATTGAGGGGTCTCAACGTGATGATCATAGGGGCGGGCCCGGCCCACGCCATGTATTTTGCCTGCTATGAAAACATGAAACAGACTTTAAACGATGTTTTCCATCACCAAGGAAACAGCCACCTAGCCAATGGTATTTTGAAAGCATTTGTCTGGAGTTAGAAAGTTCTCCTCTTCAACACATCCTACCCCGGGGCCTTCCTCCCCATGACCCAGCAGCCTTCGTCTTCGGCAGCTTGCTCGTGAAAAAGGAACTCTGGGGTTGTGTGCGCACACCCACCCAGACACACGCACTTGCGCACACACGCTCACACACGCTTCCCCGTCCCCTGCCTGCGCTCTCTGAGCCCAGGGGACTTCGGTGGCAGAGGCGTTTCAGTTCTCCCTGTTGTGGGAGCTTTTTTTTTTTAAATCATTCAATAACCATTAATGATCAGTTCTAGCACACACCCTGAATAGAAACAAAACTTTTGAATGCTGGATTCAGAAAAAAAAAAAAGTTATCTGGACAGCTTCTTTGAGACTATTTAAAAACTGGTACAACAGGTCTCTGCAACGCCAAGATCTAACTAAGCTTTAAAAGGTCAAGAAGTTTTATGGCTGACAAAGGACTTGCGCCACTGCGGAAGGCCTTTTCCACTCTCAGCTTCAGGAGATTTGGGGGTCTTGCCCCCGCCGTCCTCTTCCATGTGTCTGAGCCGCGCTTCTCCGCACCGAGGGCTGCAATAGCTTTGTGTGGTTGATGTGAGGGAGAAAGGCGGGTGGGGGGCTGTGTGTTGAGGGCCGCTCTTACATGAGGCTCACGGCCCTGGGCCAGGCCGGGTGGCCTCTGCTGCTGTCGCGTGGGGCTGGCTGTCATTGTGCTTTGTGTGAGTGTGGAACGGGAATATGGATAGCGACGTGAAGCATGCTTATTGTGATTGCATTCTTCAACAGAGGGAGCTAGATGTGGCCAGCAACTCCCACTCCCCTTTTTGTTGTTCTCACAGAACCACGAAGCACCCTTCCATCAGTGCTTTGGTACCAAGTGTGCCTGGCTGCTTTGCAGATGTCACTTGGGCTTCTGAACAGCTGGCCACCCACTGCATTTATTGAGATGGTCGCTAAGTGCTGTGCCCAGATGCTCCCCTGAGCCCATGACATCGGGGATCTCCTTTGGCCCACGTGGCCTTATGTAACGGTGCAGTAGGTTTGACAAAAGCCAGTTTATGCCAAGGTCTGCCCAGTGCTGTCCTGCAGCATGGTGGCACGGGCAGTGGTTACACTTGGACCTTTCTGAGAATAATTGCAAGTGTGTGAGCAGCAGGGGAGGAGCTGTTATGTGTATTTCAGAAGCATTAACCTGCTCTCTCCCTCATTCCTCCCACCTCCCCACGTTATAATCTTAGTCACTAGGCATTGTCACCCCAAAGGGAGGAAAGGCGAAGCCAAGATCGAAATTCCAGGCCTGAACCAGGCTTTCAGAGTGCCTGGTTCTTGAAGCCAGGTTTGAGGAAATCCCTAGAGGGGCCACCGCCCATGAGACCAAATCCAGCTTCGCAGATTTATCCAGATGCCAAGCTTTCTGTCCCACTCTTCTCTTATCCATTTTCTTGAAAATGCCTAGATTTTAACGAGAAATTTACTTAAAGGTTTCTCTTCTGCTCCTTTCCCCCCATAACACCCCATTTGATCAGCTCAGCTTAAAGGCACAGTGTGCTGATCTCTAGACAAAGGTGAGGGATGAGAATTAATTAAAATCTAGATAGTGGAAAAAGCCACTAAGTGTGGTTTCTGAGTACCTTCGAACATTAGCGGCTGTTTCCTAGCGCTGACAAGAAGGAACCCAAGGTTTCTGCAAGGTTCCGATGCGGATAACTATACCTCTGTCAGCCTTCCCCATTTCTAGTCTGTGCCTCCACACCCAGGTTAGGGCTTTAGGCATTGGGGTTCCGCTCGAGTGGAGCACTCCTAGTAATTCTGCTCCTCAGACAGTCCAGAGTTCGTCTGCCCTTAGGTTCCGGGGAACTTCCTCTGCACACCCCATGGCAGAGGGTAATTGTCTGGAGTTTGTTTTGCAGGGATAGCTGGGAGTATGGCCACCCTGCTCCACGATGCGGTAATGAACCCAGCAGAAGGTAATGTCCTGTGGCTCCAGGGAGGGACAGTAGGGGATGTGCAGAGGGGGGCAAAGGGGCAGGAGTGGGTGCAGAGGGTGGGCAAGGGGCTCCTGGACCCCGTCAGAGTTTAACAGAACTCTTGGAAGCGTGGTCCCCAGACCTGCAGGCTTCGGGAGGCATTGGAAATGCTGGTTCTCGGACCCTGCACCTAGGACGACAGCTGAAACAGGGTCCCTGGGGAAGAGCCTGGGGATGCGTCGGAGCCGGCTCTCCTGGGACGTTTTTGCAAGATTTTCACTACTTCAAAACCTATACTCACACACATACACATCTGATCCTGGTTGACCTTTATCGACCCTAGACAAATTGCGGGGGTGCTGTCAGGAGCCAATCTGTAGGGCTGTGTCGAGTTAGTTTATTTTTCAAAGTTGAAATGACTGGAAGATTTCAAGCATAGGCAAATGTAGAGAGAACAGTGTTAGGAACCCCTGTGTATCTGCTACTGTGCTTCAAAAATTAACATGTGGCCGTTTTGCTTTGCTTTCTTCTTTCTTTTTAACGTTTTCTTTTCCCCTTTCAATTTTGGAGCATTATAAAGCCAGTCTCGGCTGGGCAAACATGAGTCTGGCTAGCTTTTCACGTGTCCTGCCATCTTCAGCCAACTCAGATGTGAATAGTGAAATTTGGGCCCTGGTTCTGTTGCACCTGCATCTGGGTCATTTCCTGCTTGGTGGTGGCCTTAGGTGACATGCGGGTCTCTCACACCCTTTTTCCTCTACCCCAAAATGGTGCCTTGCCAGAAGGGAGAACTGGAGAAAAAAGTTCCAGCAGTGTGAGTCTTAGGTTATAAATTTGCCTTTTTTTTTCTTTTGAGGTTGAAATTTTTTGTTTGTTCTCTGCTGTGTCCCATGTCCTGTAGACCGGGGACTTGTCCCAGATCTCAGAGCTATGCCGAGTCACACTGGGAGGTGGGGAGAGGACTCTTTACCTCCTGGGTGCTCTGGTGGACAAGTGGGGAAAGGTGGTTACAGTCCTTACCTCCTTTTCTGTTGGCTTCGTCATGGTGCTCAGAGTGACTGGGGTGACATACACCTTTCTCACTTTGATTTGGAAAGCAGAGTGCCCAGAGATGTCTGTGTTCTGTTTCCGAACACACACACACTCATTCTCGAGATGAGATGTCCTTAAGTAAACTTACCTGTCCCCGCTTGTTCTGTAATGAATGTGTTCAAGGCAGTGTGTCTGAGGCCCAGAAAGAGAAGCTCTTACACAAGTGGGAATCGGTTCGTGGGGAATTTAAAATCCCTAGATAGATACATACCTGCTACAGTCATCTTATGGAATTTCTGGGGGAATCCACAGCCCCGGCAGATACCAAAATCCATAGGCACTGAAATCCCTTAAAGGGAATAGTACGCACATCTAGCCCGTATACATCCTTATACTGCAAACCATCTCTAGATTGTAAGGCCCAACACCATGTAAATGCGCTATAAATGGTTGCTATATTGGTTAGGGAATAATGACAAGAAAACAGTCTGTACATATTAGTACAGATATAACTTTTCCCACATACTTTTTGTGTAATTGGTTCAATCTACAGATGCAGAGTCCGTAGGTAGAGAGGGCGGCTTCTTCCTCCTCTCTCTTCCTCCTCCTCGCCTACTCTCCTCATTTTCTTTCCTTCCTCTTCCATTTCCTCTTTTGCAATCATTTTTTCTTTCATTATCTTACTATTTTTGGTGTCTGCTTTTTTTATTTTTTATTTTTTTGCTACCAAGGATTGAACTCAGGACTTTGTGCTTGTGAGGCAGGCGTGGTGCCACTGAGCTGAATTCCCTGGCCCTCTTCCATTTTCTCTTCTTTTTCGTCATATCCCTCCTCCTTTCCTTCCTCTTCCTAGTTTTTCTTTTCATCATCTTTCCCTCCTCCTCTGCTTTCTATTCTTTTTTCTCTCCCCTTTCTCTTCCTTTTTCCTCTTCTTCTCTTTCCTCTTCTCTCCACCCTCCTCTTTCTCCTTCCTTTCTTCTCTCCCTCTTTTTCTCTTCCTTTCCCTCCTCTTCTTCCTCCTTTTCTCCTTCACCTTCTTCATCTTTATCTTGTGTTTGTGTTCTTGTAATTCATGCAATGCAGGGACCTAGCCAATGACCAGGTAGTTATCCTAACTAAGCAAGGATTTCATTTATATTTTTTAAAGGAGATAAAAAGTGAAGTTCAACTTGATTTAAGGTCTTTATTTATTTATCTTTGGTACTGGTGATCGAACTCATGTCCCTGGCACTTGCAAAGCAGGCAAGGTCTTTATTCTTTTAAAAGTGAAGTAAAGCACATCGTGTGTGCTCGTCTGGCAATGTGTAGACTCTTTCAGAACTCGGTGCCAGGAATACAGCCTCATTTCCTGTTTTCCCACGAACACTTGTTAAGTTGGTTTTGTGTTAACAAAGCTGAGGTCTTCATTGGAGATCGTTACAGAACTTGGGCAGATATAATTCTGCCATGTCACAAGGGCACTGTGACACAAGCTGCAATTGCTAAGAGATTCGGACTCCTGAGACTAAGCAAGGGACACATGTCCAATCGGTGGGCTGAGGACAGGATGGAAGAGGGCAGCGGGAGCAGGGAGCCAGGATCCAGGAGGTCAGAGCAGCATCCATCGTGAGGAGGTTGGGACCCCGCTTACTGGAGGTTCTGGCAGGAGACACTTGAGGAAGTCGCCATCTTCCTGGCTCTGGGTCCTGGCATTAGAAATGGAGCCCTGACCCGGGACTGCCTGGAGCTGGCCCTTGTGGCCTCCCAGGCTGGGGCTGTGCTTGTGCTCGCTCTGTACCTGTTACCAGTGTGTCTAATGTGCTTGTTTCTCTTTATCGGCTTGGCTTCCCACTTCACTCCGACCTGGGGTGGGGCCAAGCCAACCACCTGCCTGCTGGCTGCCCGTCTGGCCTGGCCTTTCCTGTCCTACGCCCGGCACAGTGGTGAAGCAGCGCTTACAGATGTACAACTCGCAGCACCGGTCTGCCCTCAGCTGCATCGGCACAGTGTGGAGGACCGAGGGGTTGGGGGCCTTCTACCGGAGCTACACCACGCAGCTCACCATGAACATTCCCTTCCAGTCCATCCACTTCATCACCTATGAGTTCCTGCAGGAGCAGGTGAACCCGCGGAGGGACTACAACCCGCAGTCCCACATCATCTGTGGTGGCCTGGCTGGGGCCCTCGCTGCGGCTGCCACCACCCCCCTCGATGTCTGCAAGACCCTACTCAACACACAGGAGAATGTGGCTCTGTCCCTGGCCAACATCAGTGGCCGGCTGTCGGGCATGGCCAACGCCTTCCGGACGGTGTACCAGCTCAATGGCCTGGCAGGCTACTTCAAAGGCATCCAGGCACGCGTCATCTACCAGATCCCCTCTACGGCCATCTCCTGGTCCGTCTATGAGTTTTTCAAGTACTTCCTCACCAAACACCAGCTGGAGAACCGAACTCTGTACTAAAGGAATGGGCTATGGGAAGTGGTTCTGGAATCTTTTGTTCACGAAAGCCTTCCCCTGCCTGCCTGCCTGCCTGCCTGCTGGTCCCTCGGCCTCAAGTCCAAGGTCCTTTTCTTGAGGGTGCCCTTGATATGTGCTCTCTGATGCCTTAGAAAGAGGGGAGGCCAAGATGGCCGCTGAGCAGAAGGCTGTCTGTCCACAGGGACAGGAAAGACTCGGGGAGGGGAGCAAGATATGGCTGCTGCTTCTCCTCCCCCAGAGAATGTAGCTTTTCTGCCTCACTGTGGCAGACTCCTCCCTCCATCCTTAGGTCATACAGGAGGGAAGAGGAAATACAGTGACTAAACACATTAGAAAGTATATATATATATAGTTCCACTATACAGTCTAAAATAGATGGATAATGTTTATCCTTTATTTTTCTACATAGAAATTTTTGAATTCGTGTGTATTCTTGTGTGTGTGTCCATAAATAGTATTACAGACAAGCCGATCAAGCTGTTTTTAAAAAACAGGAGGGCTGAATTCTTCCATCAGGCCAAGTAAAAAGGCACCAAAGTGATAAATGGCTGAATGTGGCCCCAAATTGCATGTAGGTCCCCCCAGATGGAAGTTTCACTTGAATGTAAAATAATAAACATTAAGTGTATATTTTGAATTTCTCTTTTAATGGGGAAAGAAGGTACGTTAAAAACAATTGTGCTACTTGACAATTTTTAATTCAATCAGTCACTCACTTTCATGTGCCTTATCCCCTTGTCTTTCCTAAAAATTCCAGGACCAAAGATCAGGCCCTGGCACGTTTCTCACTGCTGTGTTACGCACACACATGGCCCAGGCAGTAGGATCGCTCCTGCAGTAGGCTGGTGGCCTGAGTACATTTAGGGCAACCAGACTGACACCTGCTGAGGCTGTTCCTTTGCTCGTTGTGAGTGACCTGAATTTGTGCCTCCATTGGTCACATGTAGAAGCCCTGGATCTGCCAGCATTTGGCTACTTGAGTAGGTCATTGGGATAAATCCTACTTTTATCCTAAGACTTATTATGAATCAGCCTTTTTTCCCTCAGGCACTTCAGGACATTTGGCTTTTATGTGTTTGGACTAAGTCTTCTCCTGTCCTGCCTTTCCCTGTACTGTCTAGGGATTAACAAAACGGAGCCAGCACACCTCTGGCACTTGGCTGTGCCCTTGTCCTGTCCCATCCTTTCATTCCCTGTCACATTAGCTGGTGAAAAGTCTGGGCCCTCCAGCTGGGCCTCACTGCAGAAGTCTGGCCTGGACCCTCATGGCCAAGGCTACTCTCCAGCCTTGTGCATGTCACTGAGAACACTAGGTCTCACTGCCTTGTCTTCTGGAATGGAGTCACACTGTTGCTAAGAGAAAACACCAAGCCTGCTGCTCTGAGGGGAGACCAGACAGCCTCCATTTCCGGTTTTGAGCCCCCACCGGGCAGGAAGCATGTGCATTTCATTGTGGCAGTCCTGGTCTTGACCTGCCACTATCACAGTGGCCAGTGTGGCGCCTGTCCCTGCCTGGGAAGGACTTAGTTTGCATGGAGAGAAGTTGCATCTTGGGACTATGCTGTTATGGGTCTTTTGTTTGGGTAGCTACAAGCAGTTGTATAATAAAACAGTTGACTTCCTTTTTCAGGTCAAGGATGGGCGGGCCACCTTGGTAGCGCACGCGTACGTGCGCGCGCGCGTGTGTGTGTGTGTGTGTGCACGCGTGCGCCTGCGCCATGAGCAGGGTCTTGCTGCTGGGCTTCAGGATGGCTGCTGAGCTGTCCCGTTTTGGGGTAGCCCCCCATTCTGAACTGCGGGTACCAGTTGGAGCAGGCAGAAAGCTGGTGATGGTGCTGTTGCTGGAAATGTTAGCATCTACTCTGACCCTGTCTTAGGGTAGAGTTACTTACCTAGTGCTAATTTCTGCAGATGGAGAGGAGAATGAAATTGTACATTGTAAAGTAGAACTTAAATCCTAAAAAAATTATTCCTCCCATTCCTTTTTGTCCACTTGATCTACTGCCCTGCTATAAAATGTTCCTGGATTCCCACAGGATTTTGGGCTGCATATTTATAGCAGAAACAACTTCTGGAAAAGCCCCTTTGGTTAAGGGGGTGCAAAGCAGAGAGGCTGGCATAGACTTCAGAGCGCCATGAGCTCGGGGTCCGAGGATGTGGTCCTGGCCTTCTCTTTCCTGTGACAGGCTGGGTTGGCAGGGGTTCCCATCTGTCCTGCCTGCCCCAACCCGGTCCTCATGAGGTTTAGTGAGTTACCTGTCAGAAGGTTTTGATCCTGAGGCCCTGAGTAGATATAGAAGTGTTCGTTCATTTTGTGGGAATGAATTTTACCTCTCTCATCCTTAACTTGAAATTTGGTAGTGTTTGCCCCACACAGACTGTAGCCTGCGCTTGTGATTTTGACATCACAGAGTGCTGAATGGGAAAATACTGCCCTGCTTAAAAGAATCATGGTACACACTCGGCCATTAACATCTTTGAAGTGCCATCTGCAGCCAGGCAGTGCCAGGGAAGCCTAGGACTCATGCTTTGACAGTGCGTGTGTGTCTGCACGAGTGAGTGCTTCTCACACCATGACTTGGGGTTCACCCACTTGTGGATTGGAATTTTCAAATAAAGCATTTTTTTCTCAAATGGGATAAGTTCTCCATTATCTGTGCCTGCTTTTTCTTAACTTTGGATTGAATGTAGGTATTTACTGGCTGATTTCTTGTGTGTGTGTTTAATAAAAATGCTAATGTCATTCCATGCACCATGTTCCAATGGCCGTGAAGGCTGCATCTCCATCACCTTTTTACTCCAATAGGGTTGTATTGATGTAAGGATGATTGTGTCTGTGAACTACCAATGCACTCCTGCTTCCTCCCCGTGAGACATGCCGTGTATGTGATAAGGGTGGACCAAGCATCATTTCTTCAGTATTGGAAATGCCTGGAGTCAAGATTGTTTCTGTCTTGAGATTGCTGTCAGCTCCTGGCAGAAGGGAAATGTGTGATGATGATGATGATGTTTGTGGGGGGATTGTATCTGATATGCTGCTACAGCTGTAACACTGGAGCTAGAGGAAATAAAGCATTGACGTGGAAGTGTTGTGGGCTCTGTGATGGACGTGCTGTGTTGTCACAGCGGGGTAGGGCAGGGCAGTGCTGAGGGTCTCCTGCTTGCTTTGCTTGCCATTCTGGGAAGTGGCAGCTATTGTGCAGGTGTCAGAGCCCGAGTGGGACAGGCACATGTTCCCTGCAATATGGATTCATGCCCATTTTCTACCTGCCCCCCTTTACAGAGTTCCAGCCATGAGCCTCTGAATGGAGAAGTCGAAGTGTCCCCAAAAGTTGCAGCCTAAGCCAGAGAATGTTACCTTTTCTGGAGATGAGAGTAGGAGAACCCTGTGAGAAACCAGAGAACTTGGAAGGTGGTGATCTGTTCTCAGTGCAGCTGCTGATGCCCTGAGCAAAGGTACAAAATCAGAATGGAGGTCAGGCCTGAGACCCAGCTGTGGCTGCAGGTGCCCAGACATGGGCAGGGGTGCTGGGCAGAGGGCACACAGGATTGGAGTTCAATTTCCTGCTTTCCATTTTCACCAACAGCCAACCCTGTGCTGCTCAAAATTGTGAGAAGACTAGGTAGCTTGAATTGGGCCACAGTGGGTGTATTTATACTGCAAAATTAGGCAAGTGCCACAAATCAGGCTGTTGCTTAGAGCAAGCCGCACACTTGCCACTCAGAGCTCCAGGCTTGGTTTGTACCAGGTGTTCAGTGCAGGTTTACAGAGCAAGTGAGATGTGGTGTTCATCTGCAACCCGCGTCCCAGCTGTTACTGCCCCTCTTACGTCCTGACCTGCCGCCTCCTAACATGAAGGAGGCCTCCCCAGGGTGTCTGCTCAAAGCTAGCCTGTCTCAGTCACTTTCTTGTCACTGAGACACCATACCCAACACCCACAGTTGGGCCAAATTTTAGTTTGGCTTAGTTTGTGGAGCTTTCGGTCCATAGTCGCCTGGCTCCAGGGTGGAACTGGCACAGCGTAGGGGCGCAGTGGAAGAAGCCACTCACTTCGTGGTGACAAGGAAGCAGAGAGTGAGTGGCAGAGCCAAAGAAGGAGGTGCACCCTCCCTGGCCATGCCCCCGGTGACCCCCTTAGACCCCGTCTCCTAACAGCAAGGCAGCTTTCAGCCCCCATAATGAGATCACCTTCCAAAAGCCCCACCTATGAGCGCGCAAGGCTGTGGGCGAACGTCTAGATAAAAACCATAACAGCCTTCGGAAGTCTACGATTGGATGGCATTTTCTTTCCTCCTGGTCAATGTCTCCTTCCTGTCTTGAGTTCCTATGATTTAATGGGCTACACACCCCTCTCAATAAAGACCTCCATAGCAGTGGCCTTAGAATATCTTGGTGGCCTAAGATATTCTTAATGAATATCTGAATATTCATTCAGGGAGGAATACAGTAACCCCAATCTGTAACAGAGACAACCTGGGAAGAAGTGGAGATGGGCCGCTATTGCTTATAGCAGCAAAAGCATTGCCCTTGTAAGAAGTTTGACCTTTGAGCAGTAAATTACCAGGTGTTGTCAAGGGTTTTTGAGCAGGGGACACTAATGGAAACAGTTACCTGGCAGAAGAGCACAAGACTGAATCGGGAGGAAGACCAGGGAGCCAGGAGGTGTCACTGAGTGTCACAGATTGTCTGTGAGAGGGACAGAGGCACAGGCAAGAGAGGTGAACAGAGGAGGGCTGGACTGAGAAGAGCGCAGATACGGCACCCCGTGGGGGCTTGGAGGTCCAGCCCGGCTGAGAGGGAGCGAGACCTGGCTGAGAGGACTGGCAGGTGACAGAGGAGGCGCCTGCCTTGAAATCAGTGGGCCTCTCTCCTGCTCAGCCAGAGGGATCTTCATGTCCCTTCTCCTGGCTTCCATTTCTCTGCCCTTCTTCAGGTCACCCACCTTCGTGATGACCTTCTGCAGTCACCCCCGCTTGCTCAGCTCCCTCCCTGGCCACCTAAGTGTGGCTGCTCAGAAAGGATCTGCTGTGGGGCTTCAGCCCCTCCGTACTGATCCTGCCTGCCCTGTGGAGATAGCTCTCCTGGGTCCTACATTTAAACATCCAGTGTACTGTTGATCTTTCAGACTTGAACTTGTCCCTCACCGGCAAAAGCCCACTGGCTTAGCTACCGGGGACTAACGTGTTATATTCACTTGCTCAATACCTTCAAGGGCTGCTCCCTGCTTGCTGAAGATGCTCCCCTGCACACGGCAGCGCCCAGTGTGGCCTCCTGTGGACAGGAAGGGAGGGATAGGAAGGACATCAGGGTGGTGGATAAGCCCGTTGGGGTTTCCTCTTCCCAGCAGGATAATGCCACATTCTTTCTGGCCTTCCGTTCTCACTGAAATGTTTTCTTCCCTCTTTCTCCCCACCCCTCTGGCCTATCAAAATTCTATCTTTTCCAAGCTAGAATATATTTGTGATATATAACAGTTATGGTCATTTTGGGGAATTGGCACACATCTATATTGTATCTGGACCATGTTGGATCCCCTTCCCCCCTCCTCTCTTTTCTCCCCCTTCTCAAGATCACCTTACCCATTTCCAAAAAAATTGAGCTCCCTGTTTCCCACCATTTTACTCTTCCCACCTTTTACTTTTCTTCTTTAAATTGTTCATATTTTGGGTTTCTCACAGAAGAAAAGCCATGCTTTATTTAACCTGTGTCTGATTTATTTCACTTAACATTTTGGTCTCGAGCTTCATCCATTTTCTATAAATGACTCAAATTTATCCTCCTGTATGGTGCATAGTACTCCATTGTGTATCTTGGTTTATGAACTTAATTCTTTCCAAGACTCCAGTTGCAAACCAGATTAGCTGAGAACTGAATCAAATTTCCCTGTAAGGTCAACATTGAACCTAACCATTGAATTTGATTTGATTCTTGACCAATTAGGTTTATGACCAAAATTGTGGAAAAAACTTTGTGAACTGAGATACCACTGAACCACATTTTCTTCATCCATTTATCTGTTGGGGGGCGTCTGGGCTATTTCTACAATTTAGCTATTGTGATTTGTGCTGCTATAAACATGGGGATGCCTGGGTCACCTGTAATGTGATCACTTCAACAGTTTGGGGAAGATGCCCAGAAGAGGCATAGCTGGATCAAATGGAGTTACTCATTTTAGTTTTTTGAGGACTCGACATACTCATTTCCACAGTGGCTTTACTATCTTTAAGCCCACCCTGAGGCTGGAAATTACCATTCCATTGTGGTGTACTTTCAGATTCTTATATGAATGTGACCTCCCTCTCCTCTTAGTAGCTGGCCCAGAGCCTACTGTGGCCTGTGGCCTCCTGATCAGAACGTGTTTCTGGTGAGGATGGAGGCTCCTCTGTGGTTCTCCAGTCTATCAACTCCTGCATTTTGCATAAAAGCAACTACCAGTGTTAGTCATACTCAGCAAACTTCTGAAGTCCTGCTGATGGAAGTGTTGTTGGACATGCAGGTGGGAATGCCCAGAAGGAAATATAATGCTGGTACTCAGGAGAAAGGCTGGGATGGGACCTGAAGATTTGCCAGGCCTCTTCAAGGTATGACGGCTAAAGCCCTGGGCACAGGCAGTTAAGAGTTCCAGGAGAGGAAAGACCTTGCAGAATGGTTACGTTTAATTAGTGAAAAGGGAACAGGGAGCAAGAGTGACTGGAGAGATCAGAGGATTATGAATGTAGCCAAGAGGTGAGGCTTTATGAAGAGATGGTATCAGCCCCACATGCGTAGGTACAAAGTAAAATCAGCTGAAGACATTAGCATTTCCCAGAGTTCTCTCTCTGTTCTCATGTTCTTCGTCTCTAGTTTGTTATCTTGTCCCTTGCTCCAGACTTTTTGGACTTCCCTTTTGAATTTCACCTGCTACCTAAAAGCAGTAACTTTACAAGTACTCAAAAAGTCACATGTCAGGCTTATTCATGAAAGTGAACAGCTGGAAAAAAACCCAACCAACCAAATGAACAACCCAGTACAATATCTATCCGAAGTTAAATGATTTATAGAACCTCCAGTTGTCCTGATATTTTCATGGAAAGGAAGAGAGTTTGATCAAGGTTACCCAGACAGATCCCATAGTTACAATCTGGACATCTCAACCTGTTTCTGAAATTTGAGAATATTTTCAACTTTCCACATTTCCCTAGCCTTGCCTCCCAAAGTTAACATTGCTCTGGGGAACATCTGAACTCTCTTTTGGAAAGGTGTGGAAATGAGATAACACTAGAGTTTGAGGTTCCTGTTGACATGGATTCTTTAGGATGCCTTTCACTATGTTATCGTCACAAAGTTTCACTTTCTATACTTAGTGGCACCTCTGGGCATTCACCGGCACTGCTGCCAAGAGGATGCAGGGTCACCTTGGCAGGGACACACGACCCAGGCATGTCCACTGTCACTGAAAGCCCTCTGTGAAAAGAAAAACTACCCAGGATGATTACATCAGCAACGGCCCAGTCCCAAGGCAGTTGAAGGGTGGGTGCTACCTTCGGGTCCTCATGAGTCTCTGCCTTGAAGAACTCTCACTGTTGAAAAGGCTTCTAGAAAACAACAGCTAACTGAAACCATGCAGATCCCAGAGCCACAGAAAGATGCACTGTGGACATCTGGGAGTCATTACAGTCACACTGGGCCTTGTGTGGCTGCCTTTAAGGGAGGAAGTAGTTTAAAGAGAAGAAATGGAGTAGTCTTAAGGATCTTTGTTCTCATCAGTATGCAATTCTGTGGAAGTAGATTCTAGTTTCCTGCTGAATAGGGACAATATTTTGTTGGTGGATGCCTGTAGCTTGGAGCAGCAGGTGACAAGTTTATATCCCAAGATTTGTATTTTGAGCTTACTATAACCTGCCGAGTGAAACATTATAACATGTCCTCTCCTTTCCCTGATTATATCTGTGCAAGGTTTGGGGAAAAAATCATGTGTAAATTTTAATGGAAATAATTATGGTTATCCATGATGCATTCTCTCTGTAGCTCTGGACTTCATGAGAGTTTAATATGTGTTGCTTTCTGCAAGGACTTTTAAAATTGAGGTCCTTGACAAGAACAGAATTACCTGAGCACTCAAGGCGGGGATCGTTTCAGTAGCCTCCTTTCAGGACTAGAAAACCATCACTGGTCTGGAAACTGGTAATACCCAAAATGCTAGCAGTTTTCTTGGGTTCTTGCTTATTCCTTAGCACTTCTAGCCATCTTTGCTGTAGTATGTCCATAGTCATGGAACTCTACGGTCACTGCTTGATTGTCAAGTGGGGTCCAAGGTCTTCGGGCAGCTGTTGCACACAGTTCTCATCAAACTCTTGTTAGGAACAGAATAGAAATAAATTACAAATGAAATGTGTCATGATTAGTGGGGCTGAGAGGGCAATCATACTGGGAAGAGCAACCAAAAGAAGAAAATGAGCTAGAATTGTGGAGAGTACAGCAAATCACAAGCCTATTACTCATCACGGAAGAGAACTCTCCTTTACACAGGACAGAATGTGATGTTCTAAACCTCCTGCTATGCCAGTGAGCAAGAGTTGCCAAGAACACGCTTTTAAGAAGTTTGTACTTCTTACTGTGGTGCTTCATTTGATCCCCTTCCTAGTTTGAAGAGATTATTTTTGCTGATTCTGATTTAGACCAGACTCTGTGTTTACTGATGCTATCTTGAATTTCCACCATGGCCTCATGATTTTTATTTTTAAGATCAGCAAATTTCTAAAAGCCACATTTGAATAGCATGCAAATACCTTTCTTGTTGTTGTTGCTATGATGTAGTAATTTACCTGCTGTGGTCCATTTTAACCATCAGGCATGTATGAATGGGTCACTATGTGCAAAGGGCTGGGAGATGGCCCTCGAAACCGATAGCCAGCTGGGCGATCCCAGGTGACCTTGGGTATATCCCAATCTCTCTAGTGTCGTTTCCTTATCTGCAAGCCAAGTTGGGCCAGATGATGGGTAATCACTCCTCCAGCAACCTATGATAATGTACATATAATACAGGCTGGATTCAGCCTCTAAGTCCATAATTACAGCATAATTACAGGCTTTTTTAAAAAAATGTGAGATTATAAGGAAAACCACACAGGCTTTTTAGCCTGCCTACCTCCCTTAAAGAATCATTCATTATCACTTTGCTTTAATACTACTTATTTCCTAAACTATCCTACAAATAAAATTTAACTTTAAGATCCATGAGCTTGGTATAGGAAAATGAAGAAGGATATACTTTATATTCTTCTCTTTAATATGCTTTTAATTGCTGCGTTTTTTTTGTGCTGTGGTAATTAACGCATTTATTTAGACATCTATGCACATTCTGGGTGAGGACTGTTAGTCTCTGCTGAACTCTAGGCCGTCCAGCCCGGTGCCTGACATGGAATCGGTCATGCTGAGTGCCTACAGCTGAAGGGATGTGATGTTCACATCGTGTATTACTATAGGAAGATACAATTTCATTCCTTTATTGAAGCCTCTGTATGTCTAAGTCTAAAGAGACAGGCTTCATTTTTTTTAGCAGTTTCAAGGTCATGGCAAAAATGAGAGGAAGACAGAAATTTCACATAAACTCCTTGTTCCACATGCGTAGGATCGCCCATTATCAATGGCTTCTACCAGACTGATGTGTAATCAGTAAACCCACTGATACATCATGGCTACTCAAAAGCCATAGTCCACATTGGGATTCACTCTTGATGTACATTCCATGGGTACACATAAAAGTACAGTGACCTGTAACTACTATCATAGTGTGTCATACAGAATATATAACATTTTTCTAAATATGCTCTGGCCATCTTTCTGTTATCGAATTCTACTATAATCCAAATTGTGGTCTGAGTGTAGACTGTGTATGGTTTCTGTTCCTTTGAATTTGTTAAGGTTTGTTTCATGGCTCAGAATATGGTCTTTGTGGTCCCCATGAGCTTCACAAGACTGGGTACCTTGCTGTTGTGTGAAGCAGTCTATAGATGACCATTATATCCTGTTGATGGTGGTGCTATTGATTTCATTTTTGTCCTCATTGATGTTCTGCCTGCCGTATCTGTCCATTTCTGAGAAATGGGTGTTGAAGTGTCCAAGAATAGTAGTGGATTTCTCTATTTATCCTTGTAGTTATCATTTTTGACTTTATATATTTTACATCAGGCATGATGGTTAAATTGGACACATTAAGTAAAGATTGTTTTCTCTTCCTGGAAGACTGAGCCTTCTGTCATTATGCAGCTTCCTTTTATCCTTAAAAACTTTATTTTCTCTGAAGCTTGCTCTGTCAGCAGTGAATATATCCATTCCTGTTTTCTTTTTCTTAGTTTTACCATAGTATGACTTTCTCCACCCATTTAATTGAAATCTATGTGTCTGTAAAGGATTTCTTTGTGGAAAACATATAATTGGACCCCGCTTATTCTACCTAGAAATCTCTACCTTTGGTTTGGTGCATAGCTAAACTTTTTATAAAATCATCCAAGTAACTAACTGTAGTCAGGCAAAATTATGTTCATATTGACCTTTTCTATCAAGTACTTTTTGGCTTGAGAAAAATCTCAAACTTCCAATATACCAAAGTTGATCCTTTACTTGGCTATAAAATAGCAGTTAAAAACTTACTTCATATTGACAGCTTTTTGTAAAGCAGCCTTTTCTTTGTCCGTGAGATTCTGATTTCTTACAAATAGAAAGTGCATTTTGCCTAATTTTCTTGAAAATTATCTGTGATGTCATCTTCACTTTCAGATGTCAGAATTCCCCAGAGAGTTTGTGAGGGATTAATCAACACTGGATTTAAGTAAGAGTGACAGCCAGTCCAATAGATCAGAACAGAGTTTGAGGAGATTAGAAATGTTGTCTGTATGTGAATTAAGAATTATGGTAGCAAAGAGGACATAGATAAGAGTAAATAAATATCTTGAGGCTTAGTGTGTGCCTTCGCTGTCCTCACAAAATGGTACACGTTATATGTAGAATGCATTTTTACATTTAATTCCCATAGTAATCTCTTCTTTTGCCCAGCAAGGTCCTTGAATTTCTATTTGTGGCCACAAGATGGCAGCTGACTCATTAATATTCATTGCATATATCTCCTCTCTTATCCCTCAAACTAGAGACCCACATCTGTCTCAGCTGTTAGATCTTACTGTGCCTGATTTTTTTTTTCAAATAGCAACATTTCTAAAGGAAATGGCATTGACTTGTGATTGTCTCGGAGCCTTGTATCCGGACCATCTTACATCAAGATATACTCACATTTTCAATATTTTTAATCCATCATTGTGTCAAATACTTATTGTACTTTAGGGATTTTGCCCATGGTTTTCTTTACCTTACTGCCCTGAGTGAAGGCATGTCAAGGCTATTTTTATCAATGCCTACCGAAACTTCATTTTGTTTTGAGTGTGATGGTGCAAAGGAACCTGTTCAAAGGCCTAGCTTTCAAGCTGGGAGGATAGCTGAGCTCCATCCCCAACACCACCAAAGAAAAGTACAGTTTTCAAGCTGGGTACATACAGTCTAAATGAATCATAAAGAGAAGCTCACAAGTCTAGTCGTCCAGGAACTAGACTAGGATTGTGGGTTAGGTCCTTAGATTGAGGAGGGAAGGACTTGGATGCATCATTTCACCTTTGTGGCCCCCCCCCCGGCACCTTTCACAGTATAGTTGCCTAGTAGGTACTCAGTACTTTTGGACTAGATGGGTGAAAGGGCCTGAGAAAGGTTTGGTGCAAGAATGAGGTGAAGCTGACTCTAATATGATGCGTGAGTTGGATGGAGAAAGGGCCGCACAGCACAGTGTGGCAACTTGGAGAGAGGGTGTGCAGTGCTTACAGAGAGGAGCAAGAGCGAGGCAGAGGGTAGAGGAGCAGTGGGAAGCCTGAGCCAGGCCCTGGACTGGACCTGTCCTTACTCTCCTGGACCTGACCTTACTTCCTCGAGGGGAAAGCCATTCTAGTAGACTGCAAAGATGTGAAGTACAAGGTACTGAGGCCAGTGAGGGACACCAAAAAGAAGCACAGTGGCACCGTGGGACATGTGCCGTTAGAGGTATTCGGTTGAGCTGTGAAAGACACAGAAGGAAGCCATCTGCTTCATCAGTGCAGGGAAGCCCCGGAGTCCACCCTGCTGCAATAAAGGCTGGTTACCATAAAGGCTGATGAGCTTCTGCAGCTGACAGAGTATCTCTTCAAACAGCGGTTTGCTGAGTGTCACGAGATCCCTGTAATGCCCACACAGTCTCTCTCCCTAAAGACGCTGAGGCTCAGAGAGGTTAAATTACACTGGCTCCAGGTCGGTCTGGGGCTCTGGTCTGACCCCGCTTATTGGACAGGCAGAGTGGGGGTCAGGAAAGGATCTGACAGACAACAGCAAGGTCTCCCCCACTTTTTCAGAACATTACAGCCCCACGAAGGTGAAAACACAGCCGCTACACCATAAACGAAGATGTCTTTCTTGTAGTATTCCTGACAGATATTTTTGCCATATAATGGTAGCGGGGTGTAGAGCATAAGGATAAGATACTGATAAAATGTCATGAAATCAAGGGTATGAAGTGGATAGTGTCCCCAGGTTTTAGCCCAAACCAGGTTACTCTGTAGCTGAGGCCATCCTCACCTCGCCTTCTTTCTCTTTCTCTATGATCATAGCACTCCATGCTTGGAGGAGTTGTGAGGAGAAAGCACACACGTGTTCATGGCTGCAGGTCTTGTGGTGACTTGTGGTGGATCATGCCAGTTCTCTTACTTCTGCTGCCTGTGAAGCTGAAGAAGCAGTGTCACATACAAAGGTGGCTCACTCCAGTGTATCAGCTATGACCTGAAAAGCACTAAAGGTGCCAGGTAGATTGAAACCTCCCATGGGCAGCCCTAGCGATGGGGCCAGAACTCCAGGACCATATGCTCCAGCCTCTCCAGATGTCTCAAGGATCCCAGTGAATCTGAGGTGCAGCTGCTTAGATATAATCAGCTTAGAATGCCTCCTTGCTTGGTGCTGCTCCCTTCGTTTCCTTCCGATCGACGTCTGGCATCGTCTTCCAAATAAACCACCTATTCAGGTCCTCGACTCAGGCTCTGCTAAAACCTCCACCACATTTGCTCACAGAAAAGCTGGCTGTTTGCATCAGTCCCCTCTCATCTTATGGGAGTGAGGTGTGCACAGGTGTTGGGTGGATGGAGTAGGCTTTGTGTAGGAAGACAGACTGATTAGTCTGGTTGCCAAGTGTGGACACCCTGACTTGGAGGAGGAAGCGCCATGGGAAGACCACGCTGGGAGAGACGGACCATGTGAGCGAAAACTGGGAGTCAAAAAAGAGCTAAAAGGATGGGAAGGCTTCCAGGAAACCAGAATAGACCAAGGAATCAGGCTTTGGGTTTGGAGAGGTAGCTGAGGCCAAGCTGTGTTGGGCCCTGGGTATCCAGGTTTCTCTTTGCTTTGGATTTTGTTATGGGGTGGGGGAGCTTTTCTTTTGAATCATGCTGTGGAAGGGATTTCTTTTCCATACCACACATTTTCCCAGTGAACTGCTAAAGCCAAATTTGCTAGTTGAAGAATCTCTCCCACCCCCTCCTGCCCCTTCACTCTGAGTTTGGGCTTCCTTCAGGGGCTCGGATTGTGTCACAGCCCATGGTACCCTGATGGTTTCTTCACCTTGGCACGTTGGAGCTCTAGGAAAAGGGAGAGTGCCCTGTCTGTGGACAGATGTCTGTGTCTGCACCTATTGTGTTTTCTTAATGTAAGAGCTGAAGGCAGAGCATGGGTTTGAGAGTGGGCAGTAGCTCTGAGCATATCACAGCTGCCTGGAGATCATCTGGTACCAGTTGGAAGTTGAGTTTCTGCCTATTTTCCAAGGGAGTAAGATCTACTAACTCATAGATCTTGATGATTCTTCCTCCTTCTCCGGAACCCTCACCTCTGATCTGCCACCACACTGCAGCTGACCCCTTGGCTTGCGCACCTGCTGTGTTCTTGGGAAGCCTGGCGGTCCCTATTGCAGTCCATGAACTCTTTCAGTTTAGCAAAAGACCTCAACAGGGCATCCCTCCTGCCAATGTCACTTTGCAGCACTTTTGGTTGATACCGCGTTTATTTGCATAGTGTTTTCTAGGTTGCAAAGCATTTAAAACATACATCAGCTTGCTTTCTCATTTTCATAATAATCCTGTTAGATAAGCAGGGCAACTATGGTTTCCCTGGTATAAATAAGTAGAGACTGAGAGGTTGGGTGACTTGCTCAAGGACACACAGCTGGTTATCAGAGGGGGAGTTGAAAACTGTGGATTCATTGACTGCCAGAGCACACTGCCAAGGGAGACAAGAAGCAGCACTGGACCCAAGCTTTGTCTGGTGAAACCTAGAGTATAGCTGGAGGGAGATCAGATAAACAGGAACTACATAGTGACATCAAGTTCCAAGCGCCACTTGGCTTCTGCAGGTGTCCTGTGATCTGCACACGCAGTGGAGAGATTCTTTGTGATGGAGAAGGCTGAGAATATAAACAATGGCAGAAATCTAAAGCCTCAAACACAGCAAACAAACCGCACCGATGTGTGGAATACCTTTTACAGTGTGAACAAGACCATTTAGCTCGAGAAGGTACACACCAAGGAGAATGAGTGAATGAGAGGCTTCTAAATGACGCGCACAGATCTCGGAATGACAGGGTGTTAACAGTTCACATCCAGATGTCCTCCCAGACCGACACGCACTCAGAGACTGGGCTTGTGGAGGTGACCGGGTCTTGGAGGCATTGGTGCGGGAGTTAGGGTCTGGTAGGAAGCTGGGTTACTTGGAACATGACCTGGAAGGGTGCATCCCCCACCCTGGCTCCTCCCTTTGCTCTCTACTTCCTGGCCACCATGATATGAGCAGCTTTCCCTCTGGATGCCCCCCTCTTCCATGCCGTTTCCTGCCTTGGAGCCTGCCGAACATGGACTGAAACTTCTGAAATCAAGAGCCCAAATCGAACCCTTCCTTTAAGTTGTGGGTGGTGAGCATTGTGTGCAGTGGTGAGGAGAGTAACTAAGACAAAGAGCATTTTGGCAGTCATTGAAATCAGTCAATATTTGTTTGATTTTAAGTATGAGGGTGGACTGCCATGGCTTTCTGCTGTCCCTTCAGGAGTCACAACACAGCACAAGACTGGATTTTGGAACTGTTTAGAAACTCTGGGTTCCAAAGCCTTCTTTCTAGTGATGAGACTCACTAAAACATTTTGTGCTCCATTTTCCTTCTCTGCAATGTGAAGATAATAATCTAAACCCAGAGGGTGTTGTGAAGATGGAGTGAGTAATATAAGTGAAACTAACGCAGCAGGTGTGTTAGAACCCCGAATCCCTCTGCTATTCAAGCATTTTGGGCTATTATTGGTAAAAGTGTCAAATGTGCCATGAATTTGGCCCATTCTTCTGTCCTTCTGTGCAGGGCTCTTGTTTCCATTGTGCCTCAGAGAAGCAGCACGGTGGGCATGCTTGAATATAAAAAAGAAATCCACTTTTCAAAATATGAAAAGAAAACCAGAAAAAAAGGTCAAATCCATGAACATTAGTTAAATGCCTGTAACATACAATCAATTGATGTAGTTGTTTATCAAAAGCAATGCGATTCTCATGTAGGCATGTACGAACTATATTTAATGTGTGATGTGGGTAAATTTGAGGATTTCAATTTGATGTGAGATGGGGATTCTGTAAATAGGAGAACCTCAGGCCTAGGAAGTTCCTAAAGCAGCTCTGCTCCTGTGGCCAGTACACAATGGCCTCCTAGAGCAAGGAGCCACGGCTTGGAATGGCTGATGAGGCAAGGTCTGAGGGGTGCTTATTGGTCCCCCCACTTAGCCCTCTCCTTAAACCAAGAGAAAAATCAAACAGCACAGTGTCTTGGTCCATTCGGGCTGCCTTCAAAGTACCATAAACCGGATGTCTTATGAACAACAGAAAAAAAGATTTTTTTGGTGCCATTTTGGAAGCTAGGGTATCCAAGACCAAAGCTCTGGCAGATTCAATATCTGTTGAGAGCCCACATAATCCATGCTTTCTCCATGAGCTCCCATAGTAGAAGGGCAGTAGGTCTTGCTGAGGCCTCTTTTATAAGAACACTAATCTTATTCATGAGCACTCCACCCCCATGGCCTAATCTACCTGCCAGGGCCTCCACCTTCTCTTCCCATCATCTGATGGGCTTGTTATCAACATATACATTTTAGAGGGACACAGATACTCAAAACCTAGCAGGGAGCCTGGCAGAGACTGAGGTCCATGGGCTCTTTCTTCTTGGTGGATAGTCCTTTTCTTCTTAACAGTAAGAATTAACAATTAAAATTTCCCATTCCCCGCCCCTCTGTTCAATCCCTCTTCTCCTTATTTACAAAATATTTCCATTTTTTCCTTCTTTTCTCATGGTACAAATTCCCTATGCTGAATGTGATCATATATATCTAAAATGTGCCAATAAACTTAATTAATTAAAAAAATTAAATTTAACTGACCCTTAAAATTTCAGTATTCACTGATCGCTTCTGGTTGCACCAAGAGCCTTAGAAAAAGAAAATAAATGGTAGCAGTATCCTGGCAATGTGATAGGACCTTTGCTTTATGACCAAACCATCTTACAAAGTGTACACTTTAAATCTCAGTCGTAGAGTTATGGCCCCCATGCTCCTTCTGGGAAAGGTGCATGTATCTCATTGGTGGGCAGGATAGGATGGAGCTGTGGTGGGTGCAAAATCAGCTTGTGGTCTAGAAAGAAGAGGAATACACCTCTGTCATGAGCTTGGGATCCCCAAGAAGTGGTTCTGACAGCCAGCAATAAAGTCATTTTAGGGAACTCAGAGTGACCATGAAGAATCCTTACTAAGTGCCAACAGGATTTAGTAGCTAGGGAAACTGGCAAGTGTGTTCGTGTCTTGGTGCATGTGGCTAAGGAGGGGGATGAATTTGCTCGTTGGAAGACTTCAATTTGTACAAGGAACCACATGGGGCTTATTCTATAAGGAACTCCCTCAGGCATTTACTATGCTCAGTTATTGGTAACAATGGGATTTGCATCCATTGTTTTTTCAGGAAGTTACTGAGCAAAGTGAGGAACACCCTTCTAGAAGGGGGCCAAGGCAGACACCCCTGTGAGTTTCTGAAAGACTACTGAACCTGAAACAGCCTGGGAATGTGAGGCCTGAGGAAATGCGAGCAGGATGTACAAACTGGAGGAAGGGAGCACCTGAGCTAACTGCGGGGCTAGAGAGAAGCCAAGAACAAGGAGCGTAAAGTTTACCTGGGGTATTGAATAGGTGTCATCTCTGACAAACATCACTGAGCACGGAGCTGAGACAAAGGCGATTTCCTCCTTCACATGGTGTTGCTGTTTGCACTTGACATGAGGGTGTTCTGAGGCTGGCAGGGTAAGAAGAGGGACGTGGCCATGATCTGGATCATTGGGGCTCAGGCTGTGGTGACCTTCACTGTGAACACAGCCTGAAAAAGAGCAAGTCTGTGCCCAGGACTCCCAAGACCTACCTCGCAGTATCCTTCTCACAGAGGTGGAACATGCTGGGCTGCTCCAGGGGAAGGCCCTGGAAACCAGAACTGCCAAGCAGCTCTCCATTTCTTTATCTTCTAATTGCATGTCATTTTAAACACACGATGAAAACTCAAATTCCTGTTTACACAGGCAACAGAAGTATCAGATGCTAACCAAGCTTATTTTGCAAAAAGACTTCACACTAAGATTGTTTTAAAAATCAAGTTCCCTCCATAAAATTTTCAACATTTAAATTCATTAGGTATTGTATATGTTGATTGAAGAGAGGGATATATGAAGTTGAAACTTTAATAGACTGCTAAAGTTTTAAAATGTTTTTTTCTTTAAATTTATCCTTTGGGTTTGTCATGCTAGAGAAACAACGTGATATTTAAACTTGTGTGTCTGTTTTATTTCACTTAAGTTTATGATCTTGAGGTGCATCCACTTTCCTGCATATAATTTATGTTTATTCTTCTTTATATTAGAGTGATGCTCCACTGCATATGAATACCACATTTTCTTTATACATTTATCTGTTGATGGGATTATGGGCTGTCTGAAAGATTTATCTTTTATAAATTGTGCTGCTAGAAACATGGATATGCATATATCACTGTGGTATGATACTTTTAACTCTTTTGCGAAGATACCTAGAAGGGGAGCTGATGGGTCAAGTGGAACCTCTAGTTTTAGTTTTTTGAAGACTCTCTATACTTATTTCCATATTGGTCATAATAGTTTACATTCCCACCCAATGGAGAATGGTTTCTTTTCTCCTCACATCCTTACCAGTACTTGATATTGGTTGATTTCTTAATGATAGCTATTCTTCCTGGAGGTGGACTCTCAGTGTTGTTTTAACTTGCTTTTTTCAAATGACCAGTGATGTTAAAGCAATTTTTACACTTGATCTTAGCCAAAAGGCCGAGAAGCGATAAGCAATTTTTCATATATTTATTTGCTATTTGTACTTGCCGAGAAATGTCTATTCATTTCAGATGCCCATTCTTGGATTGGCTTTTTAAATTGGGGAGGGGTCTGATCTTTTTGTATATATTCTAGATGTTAGTCCTTTGTCTGAAGCGTATCTGGTGTTTTTATTTATTTATCCCAGCAGGTTGTCTCTTCACTCTGCTGGTGGTTTGTTTTGCTCTGAAAAATCTTCTTAATTTGATAAGATTCCAGTTGTTGATTCTTTGTAATATTTCCTGTGCAATCAGGATTTTGTTCATAAAGTCTTTGCCTATACCAATGTCTTTAAGAGTTTTACCTATTCTATATTCCAGCAGATTAAGTGTTTCAGATTTTATATTTAGATCTTAGATTCACTTCAATTGTAGCTTCGTGTCTAGTGAGAGATATAAGTATAGGTTCAATTTTCAGTGTGTGGTAAGTCAGTTTTCTAAACACCATTTATTAGAGAAGCTATCTTTCCTCCAGTGTAGGTTTTTGGCCTCTTTGTTAAGGATGTTAGCTGAGTCAGAGTTGTTTGTGCATCTTCTATTTTGTTGCATTGGTCCTTGGATCTTTTTTTTTTTTTTTTTTTTTTTTTTTCTTAGTATCTTCTTTTTTTTTTTTTTTTTTTTTTTTTGCCAGTAGCATCCTGTTTTTGTCTTGGTGCTTTGTAGTACAAATACAAATCAGGAATTGTGATGTTCCCTGCCTTGCTATTGCTGCCCAGAATCACTTTTGCTATTCTAGGTCTCTTTCAGTTCCATATTAATTTTAGGATTGTTTTCTCTAGTTCTGTGAGATATGTTATGGATATTTTGATTGGGATGTATTAATTCTGTGTAATAATTTTGGAAGTATGGCCATTTTCAGTATGTTTGGTTCTGCCTATTCAAGAACAGGGCATATCTTTCCATTTTCTGATATCCTCTTTGATCTCCTTTGCAGAGAATTGTAGTTTTCAATGTATAGCTCTTTCACTTTCTGTTAGACTGGTTGTTTCCTTAGTTTCTCTCTCAGTGAGTTTAATATTCATGTACAGGAATGCTATTGATTGTTGAGTGTTGATTTTGTATCCTGCTATACTGCAAATATGGTTAATTCTAGGAGTCTTTGGGTGAAGTTTTGAGGGTCTTCATGTAGAGTTATCATGTCATCATCAAGTAATGATAACTTAGCTTCTTTCTTTCCTATACATATTCCTTTTATTTCTTTCTCATGTTTAATTGCTCTGGCTAATGTTTCAAGAACTATATTGAACAGGAGTGGTGATAGCGGTCATCTGTCGCGAGCCGGCGACGCAGAGCACTGTCCAGCAGTGTCTCAAACCTGAAAGAGCAGCGGGGTGGAGATGGGGCAGAGAGAAAAGAAGGACGCCAAGACAAGAGTCTGATCAAGGCGGCGTTTATTGCCGGCAAGCACCGGCCTTTTAAAGCAAAAAACCACAAACTATTATGGGATGGGTTTACCATAGTAACTGAAAGGTCACACAGGAAAAGAGCAAACAGGTTCACCAAAACAACCCACCGTGAGTAGTAGTAACCCGGACAACCACACATCTAAAGGTCAGAGACAAGAAACTGTAACTTTCAGGAATTCCACAAAGGAAACACTCTACCTGCTAAACTGGAGAAACTTAACACATATAGAGTTATTAAAGTTAACAATACTTACAACCAATACTCATGATCCCCACAGGCATCTTTGTCTTATTTGTCTTATCTGTGACAGTGGGGTATTTTAGTTCCCCATTACAATAGTATTAGTGCATAAATGAATTTTCATATCCATTAGTGTTCGTTTTATGATCTGCTGGTATTTGATGCACATATACTTATGATTGTTATGTCTTCCTCTTGAATTGTTTCCTTTTCAAATATATAGTGACCATCTTTGTCTCTTCTGATCAGTCTTGGCCCAAAATTAACTTTGTCTGCAAATAGAATAGCTATCACTGCTTTATCTGTGTTCCTGTCACATGGAGTATTGTTTTCTATCCTTTGACTTTCAGTCTGTGAATTTCTTTTTGAGTTAAATGTGTTTCTTGTATACAGCATATTGTTGGATCTTGTTTCTTGACCCATTCTGTCAATCTGCTTCTTTTGGTTGGTGAGTTGAGACCATTCACATTGGTAGCTATAAATGATATGTAATGACTTATCGTTGTCATACTATTTTACTGTGATAAAAAGAAAAGTAGAGAAATAAAAGAAGAGAAAAATTAGAAGCAAGGATGAAGGACACAGGAAGATTAACCAAGCCTTGGGAAACTGGTGAAGAAGACAGGAGAGAAAGACAGAAGGATAAAACAAAAACAAAATAGAAAAACTAAAATCAATGTTCACACTTACAAAAAAATAATACACAAATAAACAAATGAAGAAGAAAACAAAAAAAAAAGTAAAAAACAGAAGGAGAGAATGAGGGATGGGGGGGAGAGAAAGATTTCTGTGTGATTTCAAGCCTACATTTTTTGTGATAGTGTCCATTTCAAAGCATGATTGCTCTTGCTGATAGACAAAGGAGTCAGTCAGAGCCCAGATCTGTGTTGGGTAATCCCAGAAAGCCTGTAGTAGGACTAGGGTAAGGTGCTAGTTCTGGTATTTTTCAAATCTACAGAAGTTCAGGCTGATCTTGGCCTCTGGTCATAGGATTAGGGCCTGAGTCATTCAGTCTACAACACTCTGGGTGATCAGCTGGCCGGATCATGGCTCCCTGACTTGGATGTCTTCCTCAGTTGTCCCTCACCCCATCACTGTGAGATTTCAACTAGGAGCCCTGAGATGAAGCCAAGCCAGGGATGCTCCAAATCCCAGGTTCAGTTGATCCCTCACTAAAATGGCATCCAGCCAAGCACCCTCTCCAGGGGATATGGAAGTCACTGGGTCTGGAGTCGCTCACCAGGTGCTGTAGTGCACAGCATTACTCACTGCTCTGTTCCATGAGTGCCTTTCTCCGTGGAGGCCTCTGGAGTCACCCATTCTCAATGTGTCCCTGTAGATTCAATCCTCCTCTCTCACATCCTGAGCTGGGACCTGGGTAGAAAGTGCAGATTTCCCCCTCCTTGTTTTCTGCGTTGAGGTATGACTCTTCCTTTCTTTGTGGGCTCCAGTTTTCCCTTCCGAGCCTTCCTGGGTCCCACAGATCTACCTCCCTGCTTCTTTTCTTCTCCAAGTTATTTTCCTGTGTCTGTATTCCGAATCTTGGAGAGGTTGACTTTTTGCTGTTTACTGCTCTGCCATCTTCCTGGAAGTTAAAAAAATTTTTTTTTCTACTGATTAGATGTCTTTCTTTATATTCCTGGTAAAATGTATACCTGCCATGGTTAATCTTGACTATCAACCTGATTGGCCGGAGAAATACCTAGGAGGTTAGTAAAGCACACTTCTGGTTGTGTCTGGATGGGTCATGGAAGTGTGACCTTGGGGACTGTATCTGGTCACTTATCTTTTCTGGCTCTCTTTACAATCTTTTCTGTTTCTCTGCTGCCCTGAGTTATGCAACTTTCCTCCACCAGGCCCTTCTGACCTGATGTTTCTGCTTTGGATCCAGGTGATCACGGACTGAAGCCTTTGAAACCACATCCTAAATAAACCTTTCTCCTTTCAATTTTCTATGTTAATTTTGTCTTAGTGATGAAAACCTGGCAAATTCACTACCCATATTTCATAAAATATAGTTATAATACTGCTTTAGAGTTTTTTTCTAATAGTTTCAACATCTTGGCCATCTCCAATTTGTCATCTTTTCATTGCTTCTTCTTGATAGTTGGTGATATTTCCAATGTTTTAAAATATTATGAACAAGTTGAGTAATTTTAGATGATATCTTGAACACTTTCAATACTATGTTTGAGTTCCATTAAAATCCTCTTGTGAACATTTTTTGTGTTATCAACCAACTGACCTAATTGTGATTAGTCTTCAAGCTCTGTTCAATCTCTGTGGGTAGGGATCCAATGTCCAGTTAAGTTTTTAAAGCTTTTGGCAGATGTGAGATATGTTTCCATGCATTTAGTCTTGACAAGATCAGTAGTTTACATTACAGTTATGTTCTCAAAGCTTCTACAGTGCTTCTTTAGGTCTATTTTATGGATATGAATTTCGGTGGTGAGCCCAGGATTTAAGATGGCTCATAGAGAGAATTGTATCTGCTTCTCTACTCTCTTTTCTATAAAATTACCTTCACTCTCAGATCCTATTGGTTTCTTTTCCTGGTTCCTCTAGCCATGGTTCTTTAAGTATGTCAGCCCCTCTCCTCTACTGTGATGTCACAAAGTTCCATGTGACTGGTTCACCCCTTGGGAATAGTGGTGAGAGAAAAGACAGAAACACAGTTGGGTGTGGTCTCCTCTCTTAGGTTGGCAGGAGCTTCTTCCTCACGTGTTATGTGTCCATGCAACTGCTGTCACTGCAGTGTTGGCAGAGCTCTGTGATGGGGGCTGGCATTGGGAAAGGGCTGGAGAGAATGGGGTGGGCATCGGGATTTCTCCCACACTTTCTGGCCCAGAGCATCATTTTTCCATTCCTCTGGTCTGAAGTAGATTTCTATTTGTGTTTGTGCTAACTGTATCCACCATGAAGATTTACCAACTTTGTCCACCCTCATGTCAAAGCTGTAAGATTTAAAAAAGACCCTCCCTAAAAAACTCTACGAAATTTGTAATCATTGTGGTTATTCTCTAAGCTTACCTTTCTTCTCCAGTTCACCTGGCATTATTTACTTTTCAGAACCCCCTGATGGAAGCTTTTTATATCCTGTAGAATTGAGCCTGCACTGGAGATCCTTAGAATGCATAATTGTAATGCATGAAGGTCTTGTTGTTTGATTGCTGTCCTCATTTGGGACCCCCTTAGAAGGATAATAAACTCCCACTGTGGCAACTTCTCCCTAGCTCTGTATTTGCCTGTGTAACAGAGGACTCTAACACTGCTCCTTTTGGAAATTTGTAGCAACTAACATGTCTGTGCCTTGCAGCCCTTAGGTGGCAACTGGAAGCTTCCCTGATCATCTACCCTCGCCAATACTCCTGTGCCCATAAGGCTTGGAGCCTTCTCTTCATGACCTAACCTTCTATTCTCTTTCACTCTAAATAGTTCCACGGTGCTCTCTTAGAACATGTTAGCCTCTTCTCACAATATTACTTTTATCTTCATTTCTTAACTACAATCTGCTTTTTATCCTGAGGACAATTACCTCTGAGTAGTCCTCCCAAGAGGAGGGTGCTCATTCATTCACCTCCCTCTGTCACCTTATCACCCGTGTTATTGAAGACGATCTCACTGCCTACTCTGCAGAGGTATGTACCATCAGGTCGGAATGCCTTCTATTCCCTACCATTTTTTTTTTCAGTTTTTATTTTTTACTAATACATGTTTGCATTACACAATGATCACATTCCTTGTGGGAATGTACATGTACATATCACAATTCAATTCCTTTTCTTCATACCTTTCTTTCCCCTCCTCAACATTCCCTCTATCCACTGGTCCCATTTAAATTTATGTATTTATGTGTCTAACTTATTTCACTTAACATTTTATATATAT